ATCAATTCGTCGGTTTTTAGCTCACGAATCGCTTGCTCAACGTCATTGTTACATTTTGCTAACATTGCCACACATTTCTCACGCCTGCAATAAAGCAATTTCAATTCCTTGAAAAATGAGCAATGAAATCACAATCATTCAACTTTAAATGACCAAAAGTTGTATACATACAGCCGCAGCAACGCATCTTGTTCCTTCCGAATCGAACAGACAAAACGATCGCTATTTATTTGTGACTTATACGTATGAAAAGGTAGCCAGTTTTCAAAATCACACTCGGGGACATTCCAGACTAGGAACAGCGTTTTCATATTTTGATTACAATTAATGCTTTCATTCGATCAAAAATGATGATACTATCATTTTGACGGAAATTATTACTGTTCGCAATATGAATGCAAATAGTTAATGTGACGCAATTGCAATCACGAAGAATTAGATCGCGAAAAATTCAGAACAGCCCGTGAAAATTTTAAATGAGTAACATACCCGGCGAAGAGTGCATTCTTCACTACCGTCTCAATGGCATCTGCTTGTGTCAGATTGTTCGTCTTGATCTCAGAACTCGATGACGCAGACGGCTGATTACTTGATGAGGCAGTGGACAGAGGATCAAATAATCCCAGTATTTCATCACTCATCTGAATCGACATATTGCACAATCCGGGATTTTAATATGAACAATTTCAACCATGTGAGCAGCGACAACGTTTATATTCTTTGCATTCACATACAAACACCACGTTCTAATTTGACTATTTGAAAACTTTATGGATTCTTGAAGGCAAGCATATTTCTGAGATTTTTCATTTCAAACACTACGTCCTCTTTACCGTATAAGAACACCACTGTCACAACTGAACAGACTGCCGATTCTACCGGTACTACGGACTAAAAAGAATCTGATGGATGACTGGTCTGTGATGATGAACTATCGACTAAATCACGGTTTTAGAAACAAAAGTCGATGAAATATATGAACCAGTATGATAGGAAGTGATCAAGTATTTTCAGTGATTACTTTCTTACATTATCGTAACAGATGAATGTCATTGTCAGAGTTGACTGGAGAGCAGTAAAGTTTCTACAATATAGAAATGAAAACAAACCGATGAAGTGCGATGTGCGGGAGGAGAAGACCGAGTCGGCTGCAGAATTCCGCTTGAACTCGTAGTTGCAGGCGTATTTTTCGAGGTTGAATACGTATTCGGACGCTGAGAATCACTCGCTGAAAATTTCTGGCGTTTACACTCAATTCCACTGAAGTGTTCATTCCACAAAAATGTTAAGTCTTTCCAGCATTCCGTTTTCAACAATTTTGTTCAGTTGAAACTGAAGCGATNACAGCTCCTACATAAATAGAAGTCAGGATCAAGTACCAGATCAGTATATCGCTCAACCATTTATCTGATTCTTCTCAACATGAGAGTATTTCTGACCTAACAAATTCTGACCTAATGTCGGTCGGCTCAACGCTCCAACGGCATTGTTTCCTGTTGCGATATTGGCCAACGGCTGTCGTCCATACTGAGGCGTTTGCGTCATTCCACCACCTATCATAGCGGATGTCGATGGAATGGCTGGTGTAGCAAAGAAGCCCGGTCGAGCGTAACCTTCCAAGAATGGCGTCGAATCCTGAACGATAAGAAAGCATTTCGCATCTTTCGAATCACCAATAAGATTTTTTTTTAAATCAACGCCTTCATTCCATACACATCACTTCAATGTCAATGGCATTACAGAAGAAAAAGCAGCCATTAAAAATCTCATTCGAAATCGCAATTCTTCATAAAATTCTCAAACATTTCACCAATTTCTCGCAGTAATTCAGTACTCGACAAGCATGCACGACAAGCATCCACAACACAGTTTTTTCTTTTGATTCATGCATATATACTAACCCTATGAGTGAGAGTCCTCTGTTGTGGCAAATAGAAGATATGGCTATTTGGATTTGATGGTTGCATCACAGCGATCGGCTGATGAGATAAACTAACATTTTGTGATGCTAATGATACTGTTTTTGAAGTAACGTATAATGGTGCGTATTGATTACGGTACTGATTGAACTGCTGCGATTGCGGGCGTTCTTGTTGATCTGATGAGAACGCTGATGATGATCGTTCGTTGACTGTTGTCGAATCGTTTTTTGCAGTGGTTGTTGATGACTGCGCCCCTAATAGCAAAGCAGACGGTGGTGGAAGAATCCCTGATGATGAAGCGTAGATCTCGGCCGCTGATCGAGGTTGCGGATTGGTATAAAGAGGTTTTGACGATACTGATGTAGCAGCGTTTAACGCTGTTGTTGTGGCAACGGATTGGGGCCGAAATGCACCAGAGCTGAGCTGTAAGTTGCATGAAACGCTATGAAAGCGTCGATGCTAAAACCAGCCGCAACAGTGGATCCTATGCTAATTCAACAATATTCTAAGAAGTCTAGAAAGAAAGACCACAATCTCCATAG